AACATAACATAACATAACATAACATAACATAACATAACATAACATAACATAACATAACATAACATAACATAACATAACATAACATAACATAACATTATCCTAAGGGCTGGGAATCCACATTTGATATCAATATAACAGGCTGCTTATTTATGTGAAATCATCATCAGTGAATGTAGGCAAACCAATCGACACTGGCTTTGTAAATCTTTTGTTGACTCTAATCACATGTCCACTACACTTTTTGCTCACTTTTTGATCTTTCTTCTTGCTGTTTTCATCCAGCTTTCTCCCTCTCTCGCCTATGGGACATTTATTTAAAAAAAAAAAAAAGAAAAGAATATTTCTATCATATGGTGAGTCTAATTCATTTGATCTTAACATGAAGGTAAAAACATATGCTACTATTATCCACTAGAGACTTATATAATTACAGTACATATATATATACAGCATCTGTAATGATGAAAACAGTAAGCGTTTGTGGTTTATGGCCAGAAGGTCAGTGTAAAAAAGAAGCTCCCAGACTGTTACAGTGCAACTTTCACATTTTCAGTATAATAAAGTCCTCAGATACAACCAGAAGCACTCACGTTAAGCATCTCATTTTCTAAATTGATTGAGCAGGAGCCAGAGGAGAGAATATAAAGGGTCAAGGCTGCAAAGAGAAGGTGTTTCTTTGAAGATGACCAAAGTAAAGAGGATCAAAAGGAATGTAACTGAAAAAAGCAAAAGGCAATAGAGTCAGGAGCTCAAGTTTGGAGAATTTATCCATATACAGCAGGCTTTTGGATATGATTGAGTCCCTCCATATAAAACAGGTTTATTTAATGAAGACGTGCAAAAATGAATTGTAACCTTCTTGCAGTGGTTGGATTTGAGTCACAGGGGTCTCATCCTGGAATGAGGCCCAGGGTAGGAAAAGCAAGCCCAAAGAAACTCCATAGGTCCGTCCTCCTGTGGGCCCATCAACCACAGGAGGAGACATAGGATTTTAGTGTCTTGTGTGGATTGGACACTGGTCTCTGGTTACATTGATGGCCCTGCAACCTGAACTCGTATAAGCAGTAGTAAATGGATGGATTGATGGACGGATGAACAGTTACAGATCCCTGTAGTACGTGGGATGGGGTTGAAGTATGGTGTTTCATTACCATTTCCCAACTAGAGCAGCTAGTCATGTGAAATTTTGCAAGAAAATCAATTTTACACCAGCTCCAAGTTTCACAATCTGAAGCCAAATTCTTGAGCAACAAGCAACAAATTCCCATCCACTCTTATGTATTTTGAGACCATGTAACTCGTGGGAGGAAATCACTGATGTTTTTTATGAAATGACTCCAATGCCTTTGGCTTTGTGGTTTTATTCATTTTTAGAAACAACTGAAAACACTTTGAATCTTAAAAAACAAACAAAGAAACTAGAATACAATACATATTATTGTATTGTAAATATTTAGAATGAAGAGCTCAAAGATTCTGAACATTTCAAATAGACCAGGTTGAATTTTGGAGAAATATGCATGAGCATCTCTAAGTACTGACACAGCCACATAAATGAGAGTGTATGACTATTAAACTCTGTAACTATCAAATAGCTTGAATCAAGTGTTGGATAACCCCACTGCTGTTAGGAGCTACCTAAAGTGGAGAAAAAGCAGGCTATTACGGGGTTAAAACAATTTGAAATAGTATTTTACAAGTAAATCATCTTATCTCAATCTCATTTTGCAAAGCTGGCTGTGTCTGCCACATGCACCTCTGCAGGTGTTTTATTCCATTTTAAATTTGTTTTTTTATTGTCGAAGCAAGGCTACGAGACAAACATTTACTGCTGCAAACAAGAGCGAATAGCCTGAACAAGAGTGTGATATGATTTCCAATAAATCCCCTTCAATGGGACTCTTAAGTCTGACACAGACTGTCTGTCAGTTAAGCGCTGCACTAAACTTTGACCTACAGTTTATTATTATTCGGAGTGAATCAGATTGTAATGACGCCATTATGCTCACAACCATTAACAGCAAAACACTGTATTGTGACCTGTATCTAATGCAACACCTGTTCTAACATGTGCCTTTATTCACGGGTCACTTTTTGTCATTTTTGTAGTGGGCTAGTATGTCCTCACTTAGCAGTTAAGACCCAACAATCACACAGCTTCACACAGCCCATCTTTCCTACTCAGATATTATGAAAAACAGTAAACATTGACTCTGTTCCTTGATGAAAAAGGTAACCTCTCTATTTCATGCAATTTGCGAAATAAAATAATCTGCACTATAGCAGCAAATTAATAACATAAACAAATAAAAAGCATCTGTCTTATTTTTAAGTACATATGGGGAGTGGCTTCGTATTGTGAAAAGATGCATTGAAAATACAGATAAAGCATTTCAATACATCTTAATGCCAAACTATGTAGAATTATCTATGGCACAGAATATTATTAAAATGATTCAAAAAAATCTCTGGAGAAATCTCTGTATACAGCAGCAGGGCTTTGCTGTGAAAGAGTTTGCCTATCTGTAGTCACCTATCAAAAACTTTTGGGGCAGTATGAAATGAAATATAAAAAAATGTTGTTTTTACAAGCAATTTTTCACTCAGATGTCTAGCCTGCTTATAGAAATCGTTTAATAGCATCTCCACGGTTAGAAAACCTGTAACTAAGTACTACTCTATTGTTTCATATGATTGAAGAGGGTAAGTAATAGGAGGTGCTGCTAACTACACCACTCCAATTGTCTAACTGTTCTTCAGAAACTGTGAGCGCCTCTATAAATGTGGACATTTGAACTGTTTGTTGGTCTGGAGCATTCAGATATGTGTTAATACAATGCCGCAATGTTACCAAGAGTTGGGGAGCAGCAAAGTCACCCCAACGTCAGACGATGCAATGCTTAAAGAAACTGCAGAAAACCCAAGTGCTACCACTCAGAGTATGGGCGTCTGAAAAGGTTTCCAGGAGAAAGCCTCTTCCTCCTAAATCCCAAGGCTTCTGAAACAATGTCCTTCAGATAAACAAGACTAGAGTGTAGATGTCTGGCCATTGTCACCTTTAAAAAACAAACCAAAAAACCCCTCCATCTCATACCACGTGTCTGGCACAGTGGTGGAGGGGTGGTGATTTCGACTTGTCTTTCAGCCACAGGGCCTGGGCACCCTGCAGCCACTGAGTAGATCAAAGTTATTCTAGAGTCAAATGTAAACCCATTTGTCCAACAGTTAAAGCTTGGCCCCAACAAGACAATGATCTCAAGCACAGCAGCAAATCTTCAACAGAATGGCTGAAAAAGAAAAGAATCAATGTGCTGAAATGGTCCAGACCTGTATGTAGCAGGTCCTTAAGAGAGTTGTGCATAAGCGAATGCCCACAAATCTCAAAGAACTAAAGCAATATTGTAAAGAAAAGTTGGCCACAATTCCTTCACAATGATGTGAGAGACTGATAAAAGTCATACAGAAAACTATGACTTTAAGTTATAGCTGCTAAAGGTGGTTCTACAAGCTACTGAATCACCAGGTGCATTTAGACTGAGTTCCATGACAACATTTCTTCTTCATGACTGTATATATATATGTGCCCCCCAAACATGCACAATTTAAATCTCAGTGTGTGGTGGGAACAAGGGGGATGGGGCTGTTAGTCTGAGTATGTTTGCTTGATAATATAATCCTTTTTATATCGAGTTGCTTGGATATGTATTTGTATGTCATATTTACTATTGCATCTGCCTCCCCAGGGACAGCAGATGGAAATGAGCTAGTAGCTAAATCTGTTATAAAGCATCACTCCTCCTAAGAGATGAATGCTTTTGTTCATGGTCTCTGACAGTCAAATAAATAAATAACTAAACTAAATTAAGGACAGATGTAAACATTCCCTGTCCCAACTTTTTTGGAAAGTATTGCTTGTTGCTGGCACTGACTTTAAAAAAAATGCCATACATTAAAAAAAGGTTTGGTTTTATTTAGTTTTTGTGCCATTTCCAATAAATATAGGGTTTAAACTGCTTGTAAACCACTGCATTTCATTCAATATTTTTAAATATTTCAAGCAATTTTATAACTTCATCTTTAGATGTATTGAGGTAAAGACTGCTGTCATATGATTACAAATCATTAAAAGCCACAGAGGTCAGTGAAATGCATCAGAACCTGCAAATGTATGTTTTTATTCCTAAGCTTCTAATGGTCTTCCTATTATTCCTTCAACATAGGAGCTTGCATCTTGTTAAAAGCAAACAAATAAGGCCAAATGACATAACAGGGGTCGACCTCTGTGTATCAAAGGCTAATGACAGCCCGTTCCCATGGTGCTTTATGAGCCACCACTGCTCCTGAAAACAAAGCTAACACTAATGATGCTACACAGGAAGAGAGCATCTGCTTTTGCATCCTGAGGGGCAAATCCCATGCAAGTTGCTCGGATCACAGTGTGATTCAGCCAGCTGGATCATGTAGGAGGCACAGTGGTAAGGAAAGAGCTATCAAAGCTCATTGACACTCAACTTTGATTTCTTTCTATTCAACAAACACCGTGACTTATGTATCCAAACACATGTGGCTCCCATGGGATAATTTCCTGAGTCTTTGATACATTTACACCAAGGCATGTTAATGTTAACCTCATGGTGGGTCTAGAAAGATAAAGGAATCACCAAAGTCACTAGACTTTCATTATCATCCTCTGGAGATAACGAAAGTCACCAAAAGCATGGACATCATCAATTGTTGTCGAGACATTTAAGGTTGTGTCAGAGTGATGACCTAACAGGCATGCTGCCATCGTATATAGTGACCTTATCCCAAGAGGATCAATCATTTTATTTGCTGTTCAGTTACAGTGTCAACATGCTTACATCATGAATACATGCTTAGGGGTGGCTCCAGCTCAGGAGGTGGGACAGGTAATTTACTGATCAGAGGGTTGGTGGTTTTCTAAGCACTTAGAAATAGAAGAAAGTGCTTATATGAATGTGGGGTGAATGAGACATGTTGTATTCTTCTTTTAGTGCTCAAATAGAGTACAGAAGTGCTATATAAGAACCAATCTATTCATCATATACTATAATTTACTTGCAAAGAGCCATGAGCAACATGAGATAAAGAACTATTACAAAAGCTTTATGAAGGGCTGCCATTATGCTGTTTGTTTAGTACATCAGCATCATCTTTTGGTTAAAGGGATTGTAAGTGGCACTTTTATATTATGTTTAAATGACTAACCTTAATGAGAAGTGATACAATATATCCAGGTCAAAATCATACTGCAATGCTATTTGGTGGACTGCTGCAGTGCTTTTGTTCTGAGCAGCTGGTGAAGAAAAACACAGTGGAGACTAGAAATTGCGTTTCTGAATACAGAGATCTCAGCATGAGGGTAATCAGCGAGTCATTTGTGTGGAATATTAACCCATTTAACTCCCGCAGATCCATTCCTGTCATTTTGTGCTGTGAGCGCTATAATAATTGCACTTAATGAAACTTTAATTCTGCCTTCAATCCAATTTTATCTTAGCATGCTGCATATTCCTTTTGATTTACACATTCGCCTGAGAAAAAGAAACTACTTCTGCAGCCAGTACAGTCTATAAATAGCAGACATGATGCTGCATTAGGACACAGTGCGTTTCACCTTTCCCCAGGTTCAGGTCTGAGTCAGTACTCATAACACACCTCTGCTGTGATCTCCTTAGGTGAGGTCAGACTCCCAGAGGGAAGGACAAAGATGGACAATGGCCTGGCAGAGAGCTTGCTCTCAAGCTCTGGGGGATTATAATAAGCTGGGGCTCCACATACCATCAGGCTGTAACTCACACTGACTGCTTGTACTACACCGATCTGTGCTGTTCACTAAAAGAAGTTAGCATTTACTGCTGGGTAGGGCACACGGAGGTTGCACAAAGAGTCAGTGCTTTCATAAAATTGGTAGAGAGGCTGTTTCTAACTTTCCTAGCTGCAGGGAGTATCCGGCTTTGTGAGGGAATCACAGCAAAGATGTGAAAAAACATTGCAAGAGTTTGGTAGCTGCATGTTAACTATGAATTTTGAGAAATATGCTCTAAGTAAAATATTAAAACTGGCCCAAACAGTTACATAATAAATCTGCATGAGAACATAAATGTTCTATAGAGTTTTTATCACCTCGCCCCCTAAAACATAGCGCATAGAGATGGCAATAACATTAACATAACCACAATGTTTCTCCACTTGCTGCTACACACTTGATTTACGAGGTTAGGAGAGTAATATTGCACTTAGAGTCTCTGCTGGAGTGTCCTTAGGCAAGATACTAAAATCTCTGCTCAGAGTGTGCAGTTCTGTGGCTGACAATGCCTCGAGAGGGTTTGCTGATACCTGTTTTTTGTGCTTACCTTGTTTTTGCTTTATTACCTACAGTCATATGAGACAGCTCTATTGTTTATCAAGAACTTGCTTCAAGTCCTTGTATATTTAATGCATGACTTAACTGCCTTACCTGTAGGCATTTTTGGATGCAGGCCGGGGGTCAAACTTGAAGAAAATTATACACATGGATGTGCTGGGGATTGATGGCAGGGCTTTCACTTGGTTCACATCTGCCTCTAAATCTCAGCCATACCTGACAAAGAAAAGAATATAGGAGTTATTCTGAATACCCTTTAAAGAAAACAAACAATCTAATTCCCACACCTTGCTATATCACAGCAAAAACAAAAATGACTAATGAAAAAAAAACAAAAAACTTGTGTACTTTAACTCCTATTTCTCTTGAGTTCCCTTGAAGTGTTTCAAAATCTTGACTGATAAATTGTGGTAAATTTAATTAACCAGACTAGATTTGGAAAGGCACCTGCCTATATAAAGTCTCATGCCTGATGATGCACGTCAAAGCAAAAACCAGGCCAAGTCAGAATTCCTGCAGTGATCAGAAACAGTGCAGCATTGCAAAGCATGCTAAGCATTTTGCTGCAGGGAAAATTCCAAAGAACAGAATGGCCTTTATATTTCTTAAATGAAAGCAGTTTGGAATAAACAGGACTCTTGAAACTTTTGAACTAGCAGGCCATCCAATCAACCAAAAGAGCAGGGACTTTAGTAGAAGTGACCCAGTGGTCGTTCTTACTGAAATTCTGTGTGGAGATGAGAGAACCTTCAGAAGGACGCTCATCACTGCAGTACTCCAATGATAACGGGTTTATGGCCCAGATGGCAGGCAGAAGGAGGTTCCTCATATCAGACTATGAGAAAAAATTTCTCTAACCTGAGCAAACCAAGTCCTCTCATCGCCTGAAAGCTACAAGAGTGAGTGACCAGAAAATAGACAATATAGACTACTGCAGTTGGCAAAGACGTTCAACCTGCCAAGGGGATCCCCACCCAGACTCGTGATTTATTCCACCGACAGTTTGTAAATTAAATACAAACATCTATGTATAAGCCTGGAAATATATCCCAGGTGACACACCTCTAATAAAACAAGGTTAATGTGATATTGAAGTTTTCTTAATTAACATATTTTCTACGTTTTTATTTCGTCACTTTGAGGCGAATACAGTTCTGAAAACTTTCTGAATACATTGTTTCCAGACTTAGAACACAGCACCCAAAAGTTTTTTTTCTGTCTGCGTTCACTCAGCACCTAGTTTATATGTGGAAGAAAAACGGTTTCCCTTTATAGAACATGCTAATCACATTTTATTACAGTCTTTGCAGTATATTGTGTGGTCATGTCCTGCACCACATTCAGAAGGACTGGGATACAAGTCATTCAGCTACAGTATCCTAACTGTAATGAGTGCAAAGGTAGCAATTGAGTAGAGTCGTAAACTTAGCCATATGTCACAATGGCATTTAATGACTCGCTAGTCCGACCCCAATAATCAGCTGGTATTATGAAGCTAGAGGGTTGTGACAACTTGTCACAGTTGACATCAACTACACATTTTGAATGATACGAGGACACGAGCGACTAGCATTGTCGCAGGACATTAATATTTGATAGACAGCAACGAACTAGCTCAGTAGCATATCCACAGACAAAATATTAGTCGAGTAATATGGTTAGTTGAACGATTAGTTCCAGGATAACTTCACCTACACATAACTAGCTAACGTTAGCTTAGTAATAGTTAACAGTATAACGAGGACACCGACCCAGCAAACTTTAGCTTCCTACCAAAACTTAGCTATGTGCGAAACAATATACTACAAATGATATCTGGCTTATCGGTTTTCTACACTGCTGTTGTGTCGCCTACTTGTACTCACCACCCCTCAACACTCGGTGTTGACAGCTAAAAGGAAGTACTCACAAAGAGTGACCTCGATTTGAGTCTTCAGTCGTTTCATAAGGCTAAAAATCCGACGTGACCGGTTATTATCTGTGACGTGACCTTAACCCCGCCCGCCTCTGCATTTTACATACCTAAAACAAGCGCATATGCTCAGTATTCCAGTATGATTGGTCATTTTACAAAACACGAACAGCCAAGCTCGCAGTAAACGGAAGCAATGAGCTTTCCGGTTTAGTTAACGTTATTTTCAAAATAAAAGCATTAGTGTCAGAACTGTGTTTTTATGTTACAATTCTTTAAGGAAAAAACGGCTTGGCTAACAGGGTTTATTTTATTAACATGATTATGCCTCACAATACAATATAACTGAAAACTATATTGTCATTTGTTTTAACACATAGACTGTAGTACAGGGTAGCATTTTTCCAAATAAGGAACACTTTTAATTTGAAAAATATTCTGTAGACGTCTTTTTTGTATTCCCGCGGGCTTCACGATGTAGTATTGACATCAATCATGTCATATCAATAGATAGGAGAAGCCTACAGAGAAATGCAAGATGAAACTGATAAAATAAAATAAAATAAAATAAAATAAAATAAAATAAAATAAAATAAAATTAAATTAAATTAAATTAAATTAAATTAAAAATTGATATAGAGTTTTATGAATTTAAATGGAAGGTTTAACAAAATAGTATTTTTTTTAATTCACTGACAGAAAAACTTAAACGTAATAACAGGAATAAATTCACTGAAAGTAACAAGTCTTTTTATGAATAATCGAATTAGGTTAATTTTCCTCCAATAGTAGTTTGAATGGGGCGGAGACACTCGCTGTGACCGACAGCATCCAGCACTGTTGTGGATGAGCGGGATAAAGGCTGCTCTGCCTTTCGTACACTAGAATACAACTTCGCTGTCTCTAATTAACGTATTTATTAGCCGCTTCGAGTGCATCCAATAACTTCAAAGCCCATTAGGTTAGGTTTACTGTTTGTTATTATTTTTTTATTTTTTCCCCGCTGCATGTGGAGCGACTAAAGGGACTCGCCGACAGCAACCTGCCAACTCCAGTTTGAGAGATTTGGCAGGTTGTGAGAGTAGTAGGCTCTCCCTGCAGCAGCTAGGCTAACTTGCAGGCAAAAATAACGGCGTTCGCGGTGAGGCTCGGAGTACTGCTCATCACAACGGGGAGTCACTTCGCCTGCGGGAGCAACGATGACCGGGAGAAACTGAGGTAACCAGAAAACAGCTCTGTTATTATCTCGTAAGTTTTATCCTGTTCTCTCAGCAGGAGGCGGGTGTGACAAAAATGTCAATTAACATCAGGAAAGCCCACAATAACCCGCGGGCTGTGTTTCCTGACATGAGCAGGTGCTCGTCTGAAGTGTAATGAACTGGACTCGGTGTTATTTGGTTAAAGCTTTAGCTAATTTATTGTTTAAATATACGTTTTTAGGGTGGCGCGGTGGGAAGAGATATATTTAATGCTCCTTAAAAAAAATCTATAACAACGAGGGCTTGGATGAAATTGAATATATCTGCGCGTGCTCCCGTGTTGTAAACATTCATGGATGCAGTCGAAGGACGCGAGAGCCGCCACGAGCTGTCAATCATCTCATCCTCACTGCTCTATTGTTTTTCGCTCGTGCTGTTTGTGAGTGAGTTTCCATGGAGAGTCTTCCGGTTTCTCTACTCTAATTACCTTATTTGGAGAAGGGGCGGCTGACTGATGGAGTGCTGCTGTTGTTGGGTTAATAGTGCTGTATACACACAAGCGCCCGAGTGAAGTGGATGTTTTGAAAGAGTTATTCTCAATAGACGCTGATTTATCCTGATCAGGCTTTTCACACTCGATAGCCTTCCGATGGCCTCGAGGTGCGCTGTTAAAGCAATTAACTGTGCAATTAATTTATATCTCAGCCTCGTGGCAAATCGAAATTTATAAACTGTCACCCAATCTTTTCTTTTTTGTGACACTCAACATTCAGAACGAAAGCACGTTAAATTGGTATTTTGCAACCCCGCCTCACTGACCATTAACAGATCATCTACAAACCCACTATTCAGCCTTATAATTTTCTTTCCAGATGAACATGAGGGTACTTTTTAAAACTTAAAAACTGTGATCAGTAGGCTTTGTCAGTGAACCATCATGCAAACAGTCTAGGTCTGAGTTTACACTTGTTTTTTAAAAAGTGTCTTTGGCAATTGGATGGCAAGTGAGCAGCTCAGACAAATCAGTGTTTACATCTGACTCTGATTTCCTTACTGTCTAAGTCACTTCCAGTAGAAGGTCAAAGGAACAGTAATGTAATTAAAGGAGGCCTAGCAAGCAAAATGACATGTTACAAGGACTAAGACAGTACATTCTGTTGCAGCTGTCCTAAACCAAATAGGACACCAGTATCCTACTAATATATCATTGCTTCATAGCCACATAGAACTCAAAAATATGGAAAATTTGTGCCCATTTAACAACATAAGACTTTATATTTTGTGACTATTTCACAAACTGCCTGATGCTTGGGTTTTTTCATTACAATTTTATAATAATACTAGTTATTTCCATTGAAATGTTGTGATAACCCTGACTGCAGGTTTATCTAAGTTCTAAGTGAAAGCAACTTGGCTTCCTTGAGTTTTCTATATACATTTAAACTTTTATCCAACTGACTGGTGGAGTCAGTTGGATAGGAACACCTTGTGTTAATGTGTGAGTTATCACTTAGATATAACACGACCTGCATGCCGAGTCTTTCAAGTGGAACATGGATATACACAGATAAATTATTAAATGCTTTTAATTGGAAGCTTACACAGACACCCATTATGGTGGTTTATGTGCACTCTTTTGTGTAAGGAATATGTATGGAGTGACCAGCCAAACAGTGGTGACACTGTAGTGAGATCTGAGGCCAAAGGTCTGCACTATGCAGCAAGTGGTAACTTCAGGTTTAAACCTGGGTTTTCAGTGCAATAATTATGCTTGATTTTTACCGGGCACATTGCCATGGCAACTTATTCTTCAGATCTAACCTGTGCTGAAGAAGGTTATGTCGAAGATAAGAGATTAACAGATACAAACTCCCCGCCCACCGACAAGTCAATACTCAGGATTGCCACCATTCCTGGAAGATGCCTTATACCTTGGTGGATTTATAGTCTTCATCTTTCCCTGATGACTCTCACTAAGAAATATAGATCCTTAGAGGCAACTTTAATCCTTCATTTTTGTCCACTGCTGGTTGCATTTAGTTTAACAATATTTATTATTCTGTAGCCATTAATTTATTATACAAATACAGTGAATCGGTTTGCATCTGTGGAGTTTATGTTAAATCTGCTGGTAGACTAAATCTGCATCTGAATTCTGTTTTTATTTTTATTTGTTACTTGCTTTCAGACCATTAGGTAGCACCTGGGCTGTAGCTGAAAAAACAAGGCTAAAATTGTCTTATGTAAATTTCAACATTAATTTAATAGAATATGCAAATATAATTTGGCATATGCTCCTGTCTTAATGGTAAAACTCATCTGGTAAATTTGCTACACAGTTGGTATTTTTGGTGGCTTTCCTTCATGGTTTTGAAAAAAAAAAAAGACTTTGTAAGTATCATAGTCCTTCAGCATTACTGACCAACGTGCTAAAAGTACACAGACATTCATACAGTGCTTTTAGTTGTATACTTTTATCCTCTCTCTCTGCGGACATCTCATTTGCAGAATGCTTAACCCTAACAATAACCATCAAAAATGAATGCCTAATCCTAAACCTAAGCCTAAACCTAGCCAGAACCTAATAGTGACCCTGACACTAAAACCACATTTTGAGCCTCAAAAATGCCTTCAAACTTGTGGGGACGGCATTTTGTCCCCATAAGTGACTACTGGTCCCCACAAGTATAGCAGCATGCCAATTTTCTGTCCTCACAAACATGTACTCAAACATGTACTCAAACAAACAAACACACACACACAGATTTCTCTGTACTGTGTTGGAGATTGGTCAGATGCTGCTAACACCGCTCCTTTCAAGTAAATGTGTTTGTAGCGAGAAAGTTAAACCCTGGGTTGAATGACAACCAATCATGTTGGAATGACTCCTGCACTTGAGTCCAGATGTTAAAGTAAATGAAGCCAGACAGAATAAAACCGAATAGAATAGAATAACTTTAATGTCCACATCGGTGGAACACTGTCTTTGTTCAACAAAGATAGGGATGTCCTGTGTATGTTGCAATTGCTTTGTAGTACAAACCCGAGGCACTGCTGACTTTGTCAACCAGCTCACATAGTGGATGTGTATAGATAACAGCCCTCATGCACTATGTAAAACAGTAATTTATAGTATGAAGAGAAAGAAAAGAAATAAACATCTGATGTCTTTCTCTTAAGGCTTTTGACATTTCTGCAGAACTTTTGCACTGACTCAGAATTTAGCTCATTTATGCATTTCAGACTGTGTTACAGAGAATGCTGCTGCATTCAGAAACATCCCAAAAGATTGCTTGATGTGTATCACTATATAGAAGGTGTATACTACACTTTACAGCACAGTTCGTACAAACAAAATGCTCCTTTACACAGACTGTTATGTGTGTAGGACCTTAGCCTCTTAATTGTTTGCTATGGTTGACTTAGGTCATGACAATCATATTTTTAAAAGTTCCTCAGATGCTTCTTTTGTCAGAATACATTTTAGACTGATTGGTAATAAGGTAGGAGCTCATTTTGAAAATATTTGCAGCTCACACACAGTGAGCAGTCTCTGGACAGAATGAGAATCTCTGCGCCACCTATGAGTGTGCTGAAAAGCGAAAAATACTCAATAACTGGGGGTAAACAAGAAGACTTCCAATGAATGCTAATGTTTAAAAAATCTTTGTTTTTCCCTTTGTTATCACACACTTCCCTGTGTGCCAACTGTCTTGTATTTATGTATTTTGTCTTCCTTGAGGGGAAT